TACTCGTCAGGTGTAGGGTGCCATGCCTAGTTGCAGAGGCGGAATTGTGGAAGAGAAGCTGAGGAAGAAGAAGAATGCCAACTAGGGTTTTTTTCTTTTTGGCCCTTTTATTTGGGCTGATTTGTTATGGGCCTCTTTCATTTAAAAACATCAGGCATAACCCATATATCTTTGATTACCCCCAACAAATTGTCCAAAACTCCAAAATCCAAATCACTATTCTACTGTAAAATATGTTATGGAAGTTGTTTCTATGGCACATTGGAATGATATGCTTGTGATTTATTTAACATGCTTGTTATTATTGTGAGTTTGGTTGGTGCATCATGTAAGTGTGTAGATGCTTTTCGAGCAAGTTATCATTTTAATATTCTTGAGAAGCTTAATATCATGAGATTTTGTGGTGGAAGTGGCAAGTTTCAAGAAATGAGTTTGGCATGCCTAGGTGATACTAGATGGGGCTCACATCTACTGACAATTACTCGTGTTATTAATATGTGTAATGTTATCATAGATGTTCTTGAGGATATCAGAAGATGGCGTAAATTTAGAACAGAAATCAATGGCCGACAGACAGATGGACACTATGCAGAGCTTTGAGTTTGTGTTCAGTCTCCACTTCATGTTTGAAATTCTAGCAATTACAAAAATATGTTTATTGTTATCATAGATGTTCTTGATGATATATCAGAAGTTGGCGTAAATTTAGATTAGAAATCAATGGCCACGTCACAAATGAGTATTATGTAAGATTTTGAGTTTGTGAGTCTCCACTTTATGTTTGAAATTATTGCAATTACAGACAACCGTTCACAAGTCTTATGGAAAAAGATTCAGGATATTTAGAATGCTATGAGGTTATTGAATTTGTGCTAATATGCATTGCAAAACATCATAGACAATGGTTGAGATAATTTGTTGAGTAGAGTGACTGAGTTTTGTTTTAGTAGACATATTTTAGTACTGAATATAGAGGATATTGTGGTGTTGAGAGGTCGACCTAGGCTTACAGCTCAGCAAGTGATTTATTATCATCACTTTTATATTGATTTGTATTGTCTGTGATAGACTTAATTTTACAAGGGTTGAATGATCGTTTTCCAGATACAACTACTGAGTTTCCTACTTGCATTTCGTGTTTAAGTCCAAGATATTCATTTGCAGCTTTTGATAAGGCTAAATTGTTACGTCTTGCTCAATTCTATCCTTTGGACTTCAACAGTGAATAGATTTATTACTTAGACCTCAACTTAACAAGTTTTCTTATACTTGTGAGAATGGGCGGAACTTTTTTTAACATCAATAGCATATCTTATGTAGCTCATAAGTTGGTTTAAATAAGAAGTTCTTGTTATTTTTCATTGGTTTATAAGCTGATCATCTTGGTTTTAATATTACATATAGTAACTGCCAGTATTAAAAGGGTATTCTCTACTATAAATCTAATTAAGAGTGACCTACACAACAAAAATGGGAGTTGATTGGTTGAATGATAATTTGATGATTTACATGAAGAAATGGATTTTTGAAAAAATTGAGAATGAAGCAATATTATAACGTTTTCAAAATATGAGATCTCGAACAATCCAATTGTCTACATTTACAGTTACAGAGTAATGTCGTATTGTGTATTTTTTTTTTTTAGTATTTTGGATTGTATTGAATTATATTTTCATATAGATAGAATTTTTACGTTTTAGTGCATTTACATATATATCGAATAATTTTTAACATTATTTAATTAGATATTAATAAAAGATATCGTTATTATGATCGTTGATTGTCAATGGTCAACGTCCGTCCTAACTGACATCCGATCCTGAATTCTCCCATTGAGTACGTCTCCATTCATGAGGGGTTATATTAAGGACGGCAATAGGGCGGTGCGGGGTCGGTGCCCCTTGCCCTGTCGGGTAATTTCCAACCTCGTATCCATCCCGTTACCCATTTAAGGTAGGGCGAGTCCGGACCCTTGCTCAGTTTACTACCAGTTTAATTTTATTTTTTTAAAATTTTTAATAATTCATTTTATTACTCCCATTCATTAAGGTGATACAATAATATATTTTTTAATTTTTTTTAAAAAAAGTTAACTTATTCAAATATATTTGGTAAACAAAGACTTTTATTGTTTATCAATTTTTTTAAGATAATCTTAGCTATTATATTCTATTAAAACTAATGAAATTTCGTGGTGTTGTTCATTTAAAATATTGAGTTTTTAAAAAAATTAAAAATTAAACGTGGCATGGCGTGGCGGGGGTGGGGCTGGGTACTTGTTACCCGTTCCCACCCTAGGGCTAAGTGGCCCGCTACGTCCCCGACTCGAATACCCGATTAAATGAGTATTCACCGCCCCATTCGAGGATGGGTCCTGCGAGTATCGGGTTTAACGGGATTTTTTGCCATCCTTAAGTTATATGAAGATCAATAACATATAAAAGCCCGTTGGGAAACAAATAATATATCAGAATAGCCCTCATACCACTTGTTATGAATCCGATCAAATAATTAAAGAGGAGAATAATCTGAACAATATGAAAATAATGAATTACAAAGAAAAACAAAATTTACGTAGAAACCCAAGATCGAGAAAACTACGGGCAGATGTGGAGAATTCATTACAATAAATAGTAAGGAGTTACAAATGGTTTCTTTAGACCAATAATAGGATAATTGGTCAATTTCAATATGTGTTGTATACCACATATTTATAATAAAAGAATCTCTAACATATTAGGAGAAATAATAAATGAAGAGTTTAATATAAAGTGAAGTCCTAATGTAATGAACAAAACCAATAATAGAGAACTTGTGATGAAATAAGAGTCAAATTTATCCTGGACTTCTTCAAGACATCTTCAAGTCTATTGCCAACTCTCAATACTTCTTCAATAGTATTTCCAATCAAATACTCAACAATAATTTGGGTCACAGCTCAAATCCACATTGACACGAATTCTATTGTAAGGAATAAAACTTAACTTTTCAACTCCAACAAAATTCTCGAAACATTCCACCAAATTACTCCATCTCTTCCACCATACCCCTTCGAGCATATTCAGCAATTGTGAACTAAATTCCAACCATGCTTAGCAGCAGAACTACATTGCACGCCAACCTTGCTTGAATAATCTCATTCACTTCTAACTCCAGCCGAGTCACCAAAACTGCTAGAATAACCATTGGCAATTCCAACTCCACTTAAGTTATCAAACCTGCTCGAATCATCACAAGCAACATGACCAACAAGATTACAACTAATTCCATCCGATTTAACAAATTTGCTCCAATTATCCTCACGAGCAACAAGATCACAACTCCTTATGTTGCTTCTCCTGCAGTGTTCTAAAAAAAATCTGATATAACAAAATCTAGCGTTGTGATCCAAAAGCGAAATCTCAAATTTCATACTTGTCATCCCCGAAACAATCAACCTTGTTCAAACCTCAATTTAATAACCAATTTATCCCTCCCAAAAATCTCCAAAATCTTGGCTTTGATACCATATGTTAGAAAATAAACAAGATACCGGGATCGCTTTGATATTACTTATTATGAATTCGAAAAAATTATTAAAGACGAGAATAATATGAGTAATATGAAAAATAATGGATCACAAAGAAAACAAGATTTACGTGGAAATCCAAATCCGAGAAAATCATAGGTAAATGCGGAAAATTCATTATAATCAATAGTAAGGAGTTACAAATGATCTCTTTAGATTAATAACTAATTGGACAATTGATTAATTTCAATATGTGTTATACATTACATATTTATGACCAAAGAATCTCTCACATACTAGTAAGATTAATATATGAAAAGTTTAATACAAGTTGAAGTCCCAATACAATGGGTAAAACTAATAATGGAGAATTTGAGATGAAATAGGAGTTAAATTCACACTGGACTTCTTCAAGACAACTATCAACTCGTAATACTCCTTCAACAATAATTCTAATCAAAATAGACAAATCAAGGATAAGGCCTACCTATGATGGAGCCTACCCTTCCAGGATGATGTCGAATCTCATTAGTTCTAGCTTCAATGATGAAGCCTTGAGCCGGGCTTTATTTAAGCAATGAGTCTGAGGCTCAAGCCTCAATTATGAGGTCAATCCTTGTGAGTCCTAGCTTCAGTGATGAAGCTCTGTGCCTTGCCTTACTTTAGGTGATGAAGGCATGCCACGCAACGTGGAGGGAACCAAAAATTGCGGATCAATATAACACTTGTGCAAAATTAAATGTGAGATGCAGACAAGCATAAGGCCTAAGTCAAGGTCGATTAAAGATCATAAGACCTCCTAGGCTCAGGAGTAAAACATGAATGCAAGTTGACTAAGCTTTGGGCAATGAGCCCAATATACTCTATTAAACAAGATCCATTTGTAAAGACCAAATATTCTAGGAGCCCCTTTGTATGAGGTGTGAGTTAGGCTAACAATCCAATAAGGGGCCATCCTTTCCACTATCCCTAACGGGAAAGAAAGCAATTTGACAAAGTAAGGTATAATGAGGTGAGCTTGCCTCTTTTGACAAATGCTATTATCCAAACTAGTATTTCACCCGTGCGATGCACGGTGAGATGCACATACTATAAATTAATAATAATTTAATAAGTTACATGGACACTTATCAGTACGAACTTTAAAAACATTTAACTGGTATGTAAGAAATATTGATTAAAAGCAACATCGACTAATATTTTTCTTCGGTATCCACACATGTTGTCTGAGGAAACTAATTCTATTGGTCGTCCAAAAATGAAGGATTCTATGTATTTCAGCAAAAACACTCCAGAATTAGGCCTGAAACAACATAAAATTAGAATATATTAGTATTGTTAATACGAAAGTAAATTGGAAAATAAATTTAATAGCATGGTTATTAGTATGTAAATGCTTACCCACTATTTGTGCAAGGAGCCATAATTTGCATCTTCATATCTTTTTTTGAAAATTTTCTCAACTCGTCTCTAACGCGCCTTTTTGGTGCAAATGCTAACGTGCGCCGAGGTGCTGTGTCTATTTTGGGTCGGTCACCGACTCTGTCCGTTTAGCATTTTTGATTTCGCGCTTTGTCTTTCAACAGTACGCTCTCAGCCTTCTACGAACTTTTTACACACAGGTTGTTTGCCCATTAAATTTGCATGTTTGTATACACAATCCTGTAATTAATTGCATATAACTGGGGAAGATGGTCTTGATTATTGCATTTATTTGATTTCAAGAATGTGGGTTGATTGATTGTCAAGTTGGCTTACTGTGCTATGTGAGTTTTGGGTTCTCTACCTTGTCGTGTTTCCTTTTCTTTTTTTTACCTTTTTTTTTCCATTTTGGAGTGGATTTTGTAATCAGATCGTGTTGTTTACTTCCCTTTTATTTACTATTGTTGTTGAAAAATGCTTCTTCTGATTTTTGTTAATGCATTCTGAATGTCATCGGAGAAAATTTCAGTACGATTTTAGAACTTCTGGGTTTTGGTCCTTATTCCGTTTCTTTGAATTGATTATTGAATTTTACCATTGGGCATGGAGCTTCCTCCTTTTGGACTTTCGCATTGTCATATCATCTATGGCTCAGGAGGCTCAATGAGGATGGGAACGTTCGTTCTTTTTTTGCTTCACACGGTTTGATGTTATTGATAATTACAAATTTGTTAGGGTGCTGGGTGTGATCATGGATGATTGCACATTTGTTGTTTGGGGCGAGGTTTTTGGTATTCTGATATGGGTTGATGGTTTTAAAGCAAAACACACATTAGTTAATGGTAAGATTCACTGTGTCAACTAATGATGACCAATCTTTACATGATTAAGTTTCTTTTTCCCAAATCTACTTTAGTTAATGTTATACTTCATGATCTTTACACTTTGGATTTATAAGACATCTTTTTTCCATTTCTCAATATTCATTTCTTTAATGCTCTTTGTTGTGTGCACATATTTAATGTTATTGCAATTTGAATTCTTCACTCTAGATTCAAGCTGTATCCATTTCACTAATTTTATTGTATATATATCTGTCTTTGCAGAAATGGGCGCTGGGAGGAAAACTCAGACATTTGCACTGAATGAAGCTTCTCCTTTATTTGCATCGAAGGCATTTTATGCCGCATCTGCTAGAAATTTGAGAAAAAGTGAGCTTGGCGGTGTAATATTTGGTTGCAATAGACGGACTTTCAGAGAATGCCTCTCTAAACAACTCTTTGGTTAGTTATTATATTTGAGTATTTAGTGCAGTAAAACCCTCCTCGTTGGATCTTAAATAAGAGTAACATTTCATGAACACTAATGAGTTAAAAAAGATAATTATGTAATTATTTAAGGTTTAGAAACTTTATTCCAAGACTCGTGTATGTTTTAATGTTCAATAGGCCTGCCAGCTCAGCACTTTGCGTATGTACAAAATATAGAGCCCGGTTTGCCGCTGTTTTTGTTTAACTACAGCGATAGAACAATTCATGGCATTTTTGAAGCTGCCAGCTGCGGCCGACTGAACATTGATCCCTACGCATGGACATCATATGGTTCAGAGAAAACACCATATCCAGCTCAGGTACTGTGTATCATTCTCCTTGAGTTTACGTTGAAGGCTAAAGTATAAATAAATAATTATGTTTCCTGTAACTGCTTAAGTTTTTAGATAAGGTGATATAACGTGATATTACAATAGCAAAGATGAGATCAAATTTCACCTCCACCCATTTATCCAAGTTGTGGATATGTCAAGCCTTTGATGAAAAAATAAACCAACCTGCACATGAGAGGACGTGCCGAAGACTAAATTTAAATGCAAAAATATGTCTCCTCTCTCTAACAATTTAAGCTTTTAGATGAGGTGGATCAATAATTTCTATAATTGAGTTTGATAGATGTGTTGGCTTTATCTGGCTTCTTGTCATAGAAAAGCCTTACGTTTTGTTGTTTTTTGTGTGTGTTTTTTCGGCATAAAGGTACAGATACGTATGCGGATTCAATGTAAAGCACTTAGTGAACTTCAGTTTAAGCTGATAATTATTGACAACTATTACAATCAAAACCATTTCTGGTTTGAGCTGGATCATGCTCAAGCAAGCAAGTTGTTGTCCGTACTTTCTTCTTTAGCAGTTGTTCCAAGCACATCTATACCACAAAATCCAGAAAATTGGACAGCTACATTGCAGAGTTTTCCTTCAAATGACAATAGAGAGAAAAGTGGAACTTCTTATCCACCATCTTCAATAGATAATTTTGCAATATCTTACGATACAGTCGGATCAGTGGGTGCTATAGATGATTCTCTGTGTTTGGATGGAAAAACCCCATTTCCAGAGGCAGCCTTACAAAATCAAATGACAGACTTTGGTCAAAAGGAATTTATCTCCATGAAATTGAAAGAATTGGCACCCAATTGTGGGAACTCGGACGAGGTTATGGTAGGAAATGCAGTAGAATCTGCCTTGGCAGATGATGTTTGGGGGCTTGAAACTTCTGAAAAAACTCCAGTGACTTTGGAAGAGGGAAATGATGGTAGTTCTCATGATTTATCTGATTATACTGCTGTAATAACACAGGTACGTGGTTATAATTGCTGTTGGTTATGCCCATCGAGATAGATAACTCTTGTATTTATATGTCAAATGCAGTTGTGCGAGGAGATTAAAGACCTAAAGGCTTTCAAGAAAGAGCAAACTCAGAAGACAAAAAGTTTGGAAAAGAAGCTGGTATTTTTTCTTTCACATAACAACTATTCAGAAACCTATTAATTATTTTATCCATGTTGAATGGAATCTATCATGAACTCTGGCCTTTTCTCATGTGTACCGTGGTGCTTATAGACATAAAATTGCACTATTGAAAGAACTGAAAAAATATCAGGTTTAAAAATTTTAAAAGAAAAAACAAAATAAGATACCTATTTATGGACTTGAACACGAATATGGTCATGAGATTGTTGAATTAGAGAGCTTCATCACATGATTGAATGTGTTACCTACCAGGAAGTAAAATGATAATCGTAAGGAAACTAGAAATATGTCAGTGCAATCTAATTCTTGAATTATATGAAAATCGAAGAAAATGATAGGTCAAAGGTCAAAGGTTGAAAGAATCAAGATTTGGAGCTGAATTGATGAAATCTAACCTTTTGGTTTAGTTGGCAGATAGAAGTAAAAGGATTTGCACCAAGTCCATATCAATTTCGGCTTATGAGTCAAAAGTTTCTATTTCTTCAAATATAGCCGATGAGGAATTTATAAATTTTAGATTATCTTGGTTTCATTATAAAAGAAAAATAAAATCATTTTAGCCCTTTTTTCAGTCATATTAAAGCTCTTGAAAACATGAATTTACAAAAGCTACTATAACTAGGAAAATTTTGTTCACTTGGAAAAGCAATTGTAGTTTTAGTTGGAAACCTAAAGAAATAATAACTTGACATATTAGAAAAAACTCAATCTAACAATAGTTGTCCAGAAAGGATTTGGAGAGAAATAAAGTCTAGCTCCTGCATCATATTTCTTCTGTGCTTTTTCTGGTTCATTTCATTCCTAAAGAAATATCTATATTTGAGCTTTTACTCTAAAGCATGCAACATCTGAAGCTTTTCCGCCTTATGCCAGCGCAATAATATGCTTTGAACATTTGCTGCATAAATGGTTTGTTGGATGGCATTGCTTCGGTCTTGTATTACCACTGTTGACAGATACTTCATCACCATTACAATGGCATTTCAGGTTGGAGCAGAAGAAGAAATTTGTCGACTGGAAATCAGATGTATGGCATTGGAGTCTGGATCGAGTCGTTCCAAGACACAGGCTGAGGCAGCGGCAGTGTCATTTGATGAAATTCACCTCAATCTTGATGAATTAATATTTCTAGTGGGAGGATATGATGGCGTGTCATGGACATCAGCATTGGATTCATATTCACCTTCACACGATATGGTCAAGTCTCTCAAGCCAATGTCTGCTCTTCGATCATATGCGGCAGTTGCCAAGTTAAATGGAGAACTTTACGTTCTTGGTGGCGGAAATGGTACTTTGTGGTACGATACAGGTGTTTACTTGTGCCTCCCCACCTCTCTCTCTCTCGCTCGCTCTCTCTCTCTCTCTCTCTCTCAACAGTTTTATATTGTTTTGTGCAGTTGAGTCATATAATACTTCTAATGATCAATGGACCGTGTGCCCCCCCCTGAATGAGAGAAAGGGAAACTTAGCTAGCGCTGCTTTAGATGGCAAAATTTTTGCTGTTGGTGGAGGAAATGGGGTTGAAAGCTTTTCAAATGTTGAGATGTTCGATTCAGATGTTGGACGATGGATTTCCACACGCTCTATGCTACAAAAGGTGATTTACTATATCAGGGGCTAATTTGAATAGTATCCATCGATAACGGTCATAATTATATTGATCATAATAATACAGAATTGTTTCAACAGAAGAAGAGCTATGAAAAAGTCAACATTTCCATTACTTCTTTCTCTGTCAAACTTCAAAATTTCCTAGATTCTAGTTTTTTTGGCTTAAATATGAAAGTTATTCCCTGCTTCAGCATATAAATATTATAGGCTGGCATATTTTTTATTCTGTATCCTTTTTTTCTGTTTCGATTCCATCCCATATCATCTTCGTGGTACTCAAAAAATTTGTTGAAGTATCAACATTTTTTGTTAGCTTTGACATTTTGGTAAAATCAAATTAAGAAATAAATCCTTCTCATAAGTCATTATAAAGTATTTGAATCCAAAGAAAGTGATGTTATGAGCAATGCCTATATCCATCAGAAGCGATATGATGGAAATGTTTTGCAAACCTGTAGTAATCATATGTTTTCTCCATATTTTTATAAAAAATTAGACAATTTTGATGTGCTGTTAATTTCCTGGCTTGTGAAGTCTTTCGTTGTTGTTTGACTTGTCCCCTTGAACGACTCTTTTTCTTTTCAGCGTTTTTCTCTTGCTGCAGCAGAGTACAATGGTGCAATCTATGCTGTTGGTGGATATGATGGAAAATATTATTTGAAGTAAGTTTTAAAGCCATATTGATTTATCTTTCCTTGTGTTTACTATACGCTGCAAGCAACCATAAATGTGGACTGCAGTGGACCTTAGTTGCTCTGGAAAGATGAAAAGATCCCGACAAATGCATTATCAAATGGGGGCGATTTTTTTAAAAGTTATTATTTTAGTGATATATTGAACATTCATATTTTGTATCAAGTAACTATAATGTTTATATATATATAAAGGATACTAGGGGAGCCATTTTTCATATAGAGAAATGCATACACTTAGAGGTGCAAATCTCCACTTAAAAACCTTTAAATTTGAGTGCAAAATCTATAGCAACAAGAGGATATAGCTCTCACATTGAAGGCAAACAACTATAAATCTATTTTCCATGTGTGCCTTTCTGTTTGTTTCTTTCATTATTACTTTTGGCATTGGGATTAGGGTTAATTGATTTCAAATTTTATAAAAGTAGCATTACCGAGATTCTCTAATGTCTCAGGTCTGCTGAAAGATTCGACCCCAGAGAACATTCGTGGACTAGAATCGCGAGTATGGAAGCACCAAGAGGCTGTCATTCAATGGTTGTTATAAATGAGAAGTTGTAAGTTCTTCAGTTTCACTATTTAGAGCATGCTTGGTGGAGCTATTTCAAGTTTATAAACTGATCAAACACCATTTTATCCATACATCCCTTAGGACCCACAACTTTTATCACTTTTAATCCGCACATTCTGTACAAAGAGCAGTACCAAACGTACACAGTCTTGAGATATTAAGAGCTTGCCTATCTTTTTTCATCGTGTTCGGATGTGCCATTATGTTGAATGATGACCTGATACTATCACCTTGGAGTCTTTTCTCTGGACATCTTCAGTGAATTGGATTTTCCCTTCATTGTAAAGAAAAAATGAATTTACTATTATTTCCTAGTTTTAGGTTAATGAGGTAATTGAATAATGGTTCTCTCTAAAAATTGGCAGTGGACTTCCATTTAGTTTCTAGATTTTAATTGTACGAGAGTTTCAGTATGCAAATATTTAACTTAAGATGGATTATTGCTCTTCAGATATGCCATTGGTGGTTATGATGGAAATGAGATGGTGCCCAGCGTGGAAATATACGACCCTCGTCTAGAAAAATGGATAACCGGGGAGCCTATGAACCAAGCCAGGGGATTTTCAGCTGCTGCTGTTCTAAACGGATCCATATATGTAATTGGAGGCATTGATACTGGTGGCTGCTCAGTGGACAATGTACGTACATTTTTGGCCTTGTTTTCACTTTCCTGAATTTTCTTTCATTACACGACTCGTATTCATTTCTCTGATACTAAAAATGCAATGACAGATTGAATGTTACTTGGAGGGTCGAGGTTGGCAAGAAACAAACTTGAAGGCTGTCGGAAAAAGGAGCTTTGCCTCAGCTATTGTCTTGGGAGAGGTTTAAAAGTTCTTCAAAATTGATAAAATGAGAGAATTTGAAAGAAGTTTCCGTCTTTTCATCATTTTTGTGACTCGGGCGGATTTATAGAGATTAAATACAGTTTTTACAGGGGAATGAACCACAGAAATCAGTGTGTGATTTCTTGGGAACTTTGAGAGGTTTTAATGGATCTGGCTATTTAGTACTCTCTCTTTTGAAATTAGTGACAAATTTTGGGCTATTGATATGCTAGTGCAATGTTTTGATGGTCAGCATCCTCCTTTTTTTTGAGCAATGCTATTCATCTCCACTGGAGTTGCATCTCCAATCTATGTGACATTAAATGATAAGTGAAATTAAATAAGTTTCATTTAATTTCACATATCATTTAATCAATCATTTAATGCCATCTAGGCTGGGGATGCAATCCTACTAAGGCTACATAGCATTATTGCCTTTTTTTTTTTTTTCCTTCCAAATATCTAGAATTTCGAACTGAAATTATGAAGAAATGTTCGCCTTATTGCAATCAAGGGTTTGAATCCCTCTTCACCCACAACCCGGGATCGGTAGCATGGGGAACATGGACGGATTGGGGTGGGGTGGGGTCCAGCCAAAATCTAAGTTAAGTAGTTTTTTTTTTTTTGGATACTTATAAAAATACCCTTAAAATTATGGATGTTTTTAAAAAATCGTATGAAAGTTTTTTAGAAAATAAAAAAAAATAGTGTAAAATGAAAAAGTGACACAATATCACTTTTTTTAAAAAAAATTGACAAAATTCAAAAAAAGTGATACACACTCAAAAAATGATAAAAACTGAAAAAAGTGACAAACTCAAAAAAAGTAATAAATACCAAAAAAGTGACACAATATTACTTTTATAAAATTGACGAGCAATGTTACTTCTAAAAATGTTATACAATGTTACTTTTATTAAAAAAAAAATGATGTTTTTCACTCAAAAAGTAACAAAAAATATAAAAAAAAGTGATAGAAAAAGTGAAATACTTTAAAAAGTGATAGAATTTTTTTTAAAAAGACGAATATTCAAAAAAGTGACAAATTAAAAAAGTGACAAATATTCAAAAATGTGGCAAAACAATGATCAAAACCTTAGAATTAGTTCAATAAAGTGACAAAACTCATAAAAGTGACAAAACACAAATAAAGAATTTGGAATTAATTTAATAAAGTGACAGAAATTTAAAAAGTGACAAAAATCCAAAACGAACTCAATCAAGCTATCATAAATGATGATTTTGGAGCAAATCTTCATTTATCACTATGAATTCATTGATTACTCCATATTACCTTTGTAATCTCAAACAAGAAGCAAAATCAAACAAGAAATGCAGAGTAATTTTATTAATTCAATAACTTTACTCTGAAGAAATATATGAATAAAGGATCGGTCATCCCCAACCCAATAACTATCCCTGAACTACTGTTTGAGGGGAGAAGGTAGTTTCAGAGGCAACACTTTTGAGTTGCATACGTCCCATCAGCAAGGATGGCTAGCCTTTTAGATGAAACAATAATGGAGTTGGCCCGTTGGGATTTCTTTGAAGAGCCAGTGACCTCCGCTTCTTCTGAAATTGACAAAAAGGGTAGGTCTCCAAGGCACTGCTTTATGGTTGCAATGCCACTTTCAACTTCTAATAGAGATAGTCAATGCTCTCTTATAATAGAGATAGTCAATACTCTCTTATGATCCAAAGAGCACAGGAACAAACTCTAGCTGCTCGGATCTAATAAAAAGTATCCAGAAGCCTGGTGACAAAGCGCTGATGTAGAGTTTCACCCTTCAACAAAAGCATAATTGCGTTTTTCATGGCATTAATTTTAGCAGGAACATCATTCCCTTCAAGTGCCTTCTTGATCTCATTGGCAAGTGCCGGTGTGCCCTTGTCAAAGTGTACCAGCAAAGAGCATGATTTCTCCATTTCGCATTCGTTATCTAGAAACGTCAAAATTCTTACCAAATAATCAACACATTACAACAAAATTTCCAAAAATAAAATATTGCGCTGGAGAAGATTGATCGAAACATAATGATGTTCCACCTAGTTACTTCCTCCCCTAATAATAATAATAATAATAATTTCCCATCACATGTTTATTTGATTAGACATGTAATACAAGTTATACAAGTGCTAATCTATAGAAATTGAAGAAATAAAATGTTGGGAACTTGAAAATTGAAACTTATCACTCAAATAGCAGATCCGTGCCAATAAACAAAATCCACAACCCACCCAAAACAACACGAAAGAGTGGCGAATGATTACATTATCCAATTCAAGAAACACGAAATGAAAGTGGGTTATCTAAATATTTATCGAAAGTTTGTTGGGTTTGATGCTTACATTACAGACATGGAATTAAGCCGTGAAATTTCAAATCCAAAGTAAAACTTATGACATCGAGATGAAAGGAAATTAAAAGAGAAAACAGTAAATTTACCAAAAAAAAATTCGTTGAGATGATGGTTGAATTTGATTTGCCTACCCGATTTTCCTCAACCACCGTATGTTGCATGTGCTCGGTATGATCAGTGCTAGTGTTTGGGCCTCTGGGAGATCTGGATCTTCCTGGTTTCCATATATATTCCTATTTTGAAGTGATGATGTGTGGGTTTCAATAGGGGGTTGGGGCTTTTATGACGTATTAATTGTGTGGTGATTTCATTGATTTTAGGTCGTACTTACAAAAATACCCTTAAAATTAGGGATGTTTTGAAAAATCATATGACATGTTTTTAGGAAGTAAAAAATACTGTGTAAAAAGTGACACAAACTCCAAAAAAAAAAATGACAAAACTAAAAAACAGTGACTCTCAAAAAGTGATACAAACTCAAATAAGTGACACAAACTAAAAAAAAAAAAAAAGACAAATACCAAAATAGCACCATCCATTTTTGCAGCACCAGTAATCATGTTCTTAAAATAATTAGCACGTTCAGGCCAATCAACATGCTGATTATATTAG